ATAACTACTATATAATATATTTTAATTATATTATAATATTAATTGGTAATTATGGAAAAAAATAAAAAAAGAATTTAGAATGGTCATTCTTCCCATATGAGGAATGAATGATGATTCACCCAAAATGGGTGAATGGTTATTTTTTTTGAATGATCATTCATTTTTTATAAATTCAATCAAACATCAAATTAGAATTTCATTTCATTATATTCTATTCCTTTCCACCCAACCAAACACACCCTTAGAGAATTTAGGAGGAATTTTAGGGGGATATCAGACTGTTGATTGTGCAGCAATCTACAATGGGCTCATTAATGAAATTTTCATTATTCCCAAAATAACCCCGCTGAATAAAAAAATTTCCCCCAGCCAAATTTTTTTCTGCCCGATCGGTGGTGCTTTCCTCTCTCAAACTTCTTGTGCTCTCTCTCAGCCAAAGAGCTCTCTCTCTGTTTCTCTTTCTTCTCTTTCTCTGTTCTCTCAGACTCATTCTCTCCGTTTCCGTTTGGTTGCTCCTGCGATTGTTGGCCAGGCGGAGTCTCTCCTCTCTCTGTTCTCTCAGTGTTGGTGGGTTTGTTCTCGTTAGGGTTTCTGTGATTTCGTCATTGGCTGAGTAGATTTTCCGGTTGGAGCTCATCCTAACGCAATAGCCATTGTAAGTACTCCATTGAGCTTTTTTTGAATGTTGATTTGGTTGTGTTCTCTGGGTTGATGGATTTTTTGTGAAAATTTTTTATTTCTCTGCTATGTAAACCCTTCGTTTTGACCAGATTCTGACTCTATTTTATGGTATTCACATACTTGGATTATAATATAGGTTATGGTTATTTAAGCATTTGAATCTTTCGTGCATATTGTTTCAGAAACGGCGAAGAAATTTTTTTTTTCCTCTGCTTTGTGAAGAAAAATCGATGGTTAACCCTTTACCTTGAATCCGCTTTCAACTTGTTTACTTGTTGATTTCCTTTGTACCTTGTTGACTTCCGCTGTAAAAATTCCTGCCTCAAACATGTTTCTTTTTTTTCAATTTTTTTTATGATGATTATGAGGATGATCAAACTCTCTCACAAAGTAAAGATGTGGTGATGTTTTATGTATGTGTAATTGTGATGACACTTTGCTTTGGAATTAGCTAGCTAGTTGTGTCACTAGTGGTGGTGAAGGGTATTTATTTTGGGAAGGGGAAACATGAAAAGAAAGATGAGAGAGAGTTTGTGGGATAATATGGAGAGATTAAGTGAGTCGTTTGAAATGATTGAGAGTAGTCGAAAGCTAGTTAAGGGTTCAAGCTAGCTACAAAGTATGTAAAACAAAATTAAAAAAAAAAATTTTGATTTTTTGTAGCCACGTTTTTAAGAAAAAGATCGGCTTGAAAAATCCAAATGAGAAAGATAAAGATTAAAACATCTGCCAGAACATATATACAACTGTTGTTAACTAAAGTACTCACTACTTAAACATTATGTTATAGGTCATTCCAAGTAGATAACACTAGCTTTGCTCTTAATGTTATCCACCTGACACACACTAGCTTAGCAAGTTTCATATTGAAGCAAAAACTGTAATTGTGTTAATTTACACATTAGCTTGAATTACATCATTGATGAGTGTACCAATGTAAAATTACAAAGAAGAGGAAAGAAACCGTGGATGGTTAGGCTATGGTATTTTCATTTTAGAGGCCAAGAAAAACAGCTTTTGAGGTTTTTGGATTGTGCATTTCGAAAAGAAAGCTTACACGTGGTTTGGCTATTCTTATGCACAAGAACAGGGATGGTAGTGCTGTTTCTTTATTCTATTGGTAACAAACAAATAGAGAGAGATAGAGAGAGCTTGTAGAAGGATTGAAAGTTGGGTTCAAGGCATGCCGATGATGAAAAAAAGGAGAGAATAGGAAAAAGAGATAAATGAGTGTGGTTGTGGTTGTATTGTGGGCTTTGGTTCACCTTCCACTTTTCCTTTTTTCCCCGACCTTGTGGTGCAAGTTTTTGGCAACAAAAGTAGAGAGGTTAGGGATGGGGAAGTTGATTCGCCCTTTTTGTTATTATCTCTGTCCAATTAGCATATTACTTGTCAAAGGGGGACTCAGCAAAAAAGAGGCCCGCTTTGTGTAATTATGTGTGTGTATTTCACCAACTTTCTTATTTAAATTTATTAATGGATTTTGAACATGTATTATGAAGTATGCATTCATTAATTCTTTCACATTTCACAATCGGGTTAGCTTGTTTGCACTTGTGATTAGAAAGCATAGTCTTTATCTCAACCAGCCTTGCTCTAGGAACAAAATGCATAAATTTACATAAATTTGAGTTTCTTTGCTAAAAGGAGGTTATTTGAGTCTCTTTACTTTCAAACGGTTTCACCAGTACGTAAATGTGGTGTTTGTTATGATGTTACTTTGAATCTTGTGTAACCTTTACGGATTTGGAAAGTGTTTGTGCAATGCCATTGATGTTTGTTTGTTTGTTCAATGAGGAGAGTGATGTTTGTAATATAATTTTTACATGTCACCCATTAATGTGTTTTTATTTCAATAGGTAAATATTATTTGGCTGACGTGGGATATCCATAATTGAAAGAATTTCTTAGACCATATAAAGGAGAAAGATACCATTTACCACAACTTCGAGTGGGTCGTAGACCATATAATGCCCTTCTAAGCATGTGCCGAGAACATGACAATGGCTAAGGTCATGTGGATTTATCACCATTTTGTGGAGTTCAAAAGTCTCAAAATCAGTGTTAGGTGACAAGTAATCTAGTCAGTAATATCTGCAGTTTGTCTCATTTGCTCTTTGACGTCGTTGATATGGCCTCAGGTCTCATACTCCTTGAGGTGGATCCTGATGGTATCGTTTATGAAGACAATCAACTTGAGGACAATGTAGAAGATAATTGAAATACTAGTTTTTTATTATCACAAGAAATGGATGAAGTACGAGATCAAGTTGCTGCAAGTTTAATGAGCACTACGTAATTCTTTGAATGCCTCTACCAGTTTTTAAACATGGAATGTACATTTTTGTTGTATATGTTGATTACTCAGTTATGCTCTTTTTTGTTGTAACTATATTATGAATGAAGAAATGAAGACAAAAATAATAATTATAATAAATTTATTGTTAGAAAACTTAGAATCATAGCATTATGTTTTTTTTTAAGCTAAACAAGTATTTCTAAATACTAAAAAAAATTATATATATTTAAGTTTCATACCATGTCTATTTTTGTCATTTTACATACCCACAGCAATTCAACCTTAAAATTTATCAAATGTTATTATACTGATTTTAGAACCAGCACAGCTACTATAATTATAATTTATTAAACACTTAACTGCTTCTTGTAACAGCTACTTCTTTCTTCAGTATAACTAAAAGTAATTTTTCTAAAATTCACAGCACTATTAAACTAAGCTTTAGTGGGAGCAGAGTTGAAATAGTTGATCTTCAGTGTAGGCAAAACAAGAAAACAAAACATTTTTACAGCTAATATTGAAACTAATTAATTTGAAAAGCAAAGGGTCATATATAGGCACTAGACATTTTTTGGTGACATGGTAACGTGTTTTGTGCGCTTTAGGTCACACATTACATGCTTGCGTTTTAGAGTTTATAACTAAATAGTTACGTTGTCGTTTATGAATGGACTCTTGTTATTTTTCAATGTCATATTTCATTATATAATTCACAAGAAATTACCACTCAACACTTGAAAAAAATTAAAAAAGCATTCTTTTGGTTTACTTATGACCTATCATCGTTACAACTTCTCCAATGATTCTTCATTAAGTGTCTCACTGTTTAGGATCCGTTTAGTTCGTTAATTTGAGTTTTTAATTTGAGTTAAGATGTGATTGAGAGCTTTTTACTGTAATAAAAAAGTTAAATATGACTGTTTCTGAAAACTTTTTACTGTAACAAAACTCAAATTTTAAACTCGAATCGATAAAATAAACGAAATTTTAAATTAAAAACTTTTTAATCGTACAATAAAAATCACATATGTGACGTTTTTCATCTGGTTGCCGAATTAAAGGGTAGGCCTATAAATAAATAAATAAATATATGTATATATTTATTTTAAAAAATTCACATAGAATGTACGGTTCAGTTTGTAATTTTATCTATTGGTTGCCATTTTTTAGGGGTTTTTTTTTCTTTTAACAGCCCGACTCCCTAATTGCCGCAACATGAAACAATAGCTGCCGTTCCTGAAGTACTTACGTGTGTGGCGTCATCTTCTTCTCTCTACGTAAACACTCTAATCAAACTAAAGAAAAATTTAAAGTCTCATTTATTTCACCGATTTAAATTTAAAATTTAAATTTTATTACAGTAAAAAGTTCTCAGAAATATTCATATCTGATTTTTTTATTACAGTAAAAAATTTTCACATAAAATTACATCTCAACTCAAATTAAAAACTCAAATCAGCTAACTAAACGGATCTTAATTGATTTAAAATATAATTTAATATAAAAATTTTTTATTAATAAAAATTTGAATGTAAAAGTATTTAATTATAATAAAATTAAAATTAAAAGTTTAAATGGGTGAAACGTGTCATCATAACTTTTGGTCGTACGATTATTAAAGCCAATGACCCATTTACACCAAAGCGACAAGACGTTCGACACAATGACCACTCACTCACCCACACTTTATTCTCCTCAAATCCTCTCCTCGAAAGCTCGACTGAAAACTCCTTTAACGAACAAAGCTATAGCCACGTCGCTCCTCCGTGGGACCCACAGAGCCGCCCGTCAGTCGTCACCACTTCACGCCCAAAACTACAGACGTGGACTCACACGCCACCACAGTCAAACCGATCACCCAGAACCTTCCAAAAAATCTCCCAACTTTTCCAATCCTAAAACTTCGTTCCCTGAGATTCCTGGAATTCTCTCCCAATTATTTTCCTTCTCTTTTCTCGGCTTCCGTAGATGGCGGCGGCGCGCGCTATTCGCTGCGAGCTGAGGGCTCCAAAAACGGCGACGTATCGGAGGTCGGAAGCGTCTTCGGAGGTTCCGACGAGGATTTCGGTGGCCGAATCGGAGAACGGTAAGATCATGTTGCAGCCGAGGATGTGTACTCTTAGATCGTACGGCTCCGATCCGATCGCGGTGGTGAAGACGCGGAGAGACGGCGGCGATGGGGCGTTGCCGTTCTTTGAGACTTTGTCGGAGTACATCGAGAGCTCCAAGAAGAGCCAGGATTTCGAGATCATCTCCGGTAGACTCGCCATGGTGAGTTTTTTGCTTTTACAATTCCATATAATATTTTGTATTGTTTAATATTCTTACTTACTGTTTTTTAAGAAAGATTTCTTTTATTAAATATGGTTTAAGGTTTTTAATCTTTTGATCAAGTTGGGATTACAGAGTTGATCAGTTGATCTCGAAAGTAAAATATTTCTTTGTTTGGATTGGAATCCAGTGGTTATGAAGATTCTGTCTTTTTGTTTTTGTTGGAAGCTGAGAAGTGAGGACAGAATCTTCTACAGATTCGTCCAAAATTTTTGATAAAACAAGAGATAATAAAATATTGTTTTACCTTCAGAAAAAGTATATGTACAACATAAATAAATTGTAATATATTCCTCTGGAGAGACTATCATATATTTCTATGTAGAACCATTTACGTTCGGGGAATTGAAAAAAAAAAAAAAAAAACCTTTATTTTAGTATTTAAGACTTCTCCTAGACACTTTGTTTATTTAGGATCGTATAATTTGTTGATTTGAGTTTTTAATTTAAATTGACATGTGATCTTATATAAGAATTTTTTAGTATAATAAAAAGTTAAATGTGATTATTTTTAAAAAAATTTTACTGTAACAAAATTTAAATTTAAAATTTAAATTAGTAAAATTAACGGGACCTTAGTATCTAAGTTCTCAAGTATATTTCAAGCGTCTGTAAAATTCAGCTACCTAAATGAAAATTGACGTTCAACTATTTATATATTGTCATGTAACTATGAAATTCTTTACACATTATAATAAAAGGAAAAAAAAATCCAAAAGCATCATTAAGAGTAGGAGTTTTTCATGCATTCATCTGTACGTGAATTTGAATTATTGTAAGGATACATGGATGATCTATTGCGTTAGAAATTTTTATGTCGCTAGGAATTTCTTATTTGCTCGGAATTATTGTAAGAAATTTTTATGTCATGATTCAAAACCATTCTTAATTTACGTATATTTTTTGTAAGAAAAAATATTGTAGCGAGTTATGAACTATGATATGAATCATAACACGGATCTTTAAACTAAACACACGCTTAATTTGTTGTAGATTGTTTTTGCGGCGACAGTGACGACAGAAGTGGTGACGGGAAACTCCTTGTTCAGGAAAATGGATTTGCAAGGGATAGAGGAAGCAGCAGGGGCTTGTTTGGGAGCAGTGACATTTGCGGCGATTTTCGCATGGTTCAGCCGTGCAAGAAACAGAGTTGGTCGGATGTT